TCAACAGTTAACAGTTCTTTCTAAAACTGCATTGATATGTGTTTATGCATATGCACGCGCGTGCGCGCGCACACACACACACACACACACACAGCAACCTTAACTTTAACCCTCTGTCCTAAAATAATCTTACCTTCAGAAATTTGTGTGACCTGGCTGGAAGATTCCATCAACAGTCCTTTCTTTTAAAGTTTGTTTCTCCTCCTCCTTCTCCTCCTCTCACCCTTTTCCCAAAATAAGTTAAAAATTAGGATTGTTCCCACCTTATTTTCCCCATATTCCCTTATTCAATATGACATAATCAGTGAATCAAGCCCTTTAAAAAAGTTAATAATTGGGTATCCTTTAAAAAGAACACATTTCAGAGAATCATAGAAGCCAGGCATCATTTTGTGTTTTAGTCCATCAAATCCAATCTTCTGATTGATGTAATGGGATGTAAGAATGACCTTGAGGAACAGGAGGAATAGCCACAACCAAGACAAAGATCAGATAAAAGAAATCTGAGTCCAAAGCAGAAATGTAATTTGAGAAAACATCTCAGACTTGAACCTCCCTAGTTTTCTTAAAGATAAAGGCAGGGAGGGAGGAGGTACATTCAGACTTGCAAGATTCTGTTACTGTAACCCTATAATAAAAGTAGTAGTAGCATTTCTAATTTTGGTTTCCTAGTCTGGTCTACTTCAGAGGGCTGGCCCTTAGTGCAGGAATCCAAAGAAAAGCATCTCAGATAGATAGCTACTAGCTACCATTTGAAGACATCCCACCCAGGAGAGCCCCCTGGATCTCTTGGTCAATCGCTGGTTCCACTGTCCAACTGCTCTTAGTCTTTTTTTTAACATCCCATCAGAACTGCCTTCTTGAAACTTAAATGTTGACAACACATCTTGATATTTTCTGTAAATTTCTTTTAGGTTCTTGAAGAGTGCTGTCGCATCCCTCTTTAGCTGTCTTTTCTAAGGCTAAATTTTCACTGCTCCTTCTGTCTTCATAGGACTGTTTCTACAGTCCCTCAAGTGGTCCTTCTCTGAACCTATTCCAGTTTTTCTACGTCCCTGTTAAAGCATGGTGTCCAGAACTCTTCTGCACAGTCAATTACTTCTTGTGATTTGGAAATTTTATTTCTGCAGATGCAAGGCAACATTACATTGTCCTTTTTTGTAACGACATTCCATTGCTGGCTCGTACCCAATTTGCAATCAACCACTCATCAACAATCTTTTTCACAAGTTTCATTCCCATCGCCTACTGATGCGTTTAATTTTTGTTTCTTAAGTGAAGACTTGCCTCTGATAAATGTCAGTTGGTTATTTTTAGCCCATTTCTCTAACTTATCAAGATCATTTTGAATTGTATTACCATTTTCTGAGGTACTTGCTTGGTGCAGTGTTTATCATCAGCAAATTTAAAAAGCATTCCTTCCATCTTTTCATGAAAATCATTAGTAAAGATGTTAAAGAGTAGGTAACCCAGGACTGGCCCTTGGGACACCCCACTTGATAATGTGTTCTAATTTAAAGAGAATAAGTACAATCTTCAGTTATATATCTGTTCATTTGTCATGCTATCCAGTCTACAATTAACTAGCTTGCTAATTAGCATCCATGAGGTACTGTCATATGCTTTGTTGAAATCAAGATGTGTCTACAGTGTTCCCACAATTTATTAAAGAAGCTATCTGATTAGAAATGAGGTTAAGATTAATCTAGCATGTTTTATTCTTGATAGACTTCTTGTCATTCTTTTGGCACAGCCTTTAAATATAGCCTGTGAGAATTCTTGGATCATTAGGCAAGTATGAATGACATTAATAATAATATGAAAAAAAACTATTTGAGCACATGTTCAACCCAGGAAGGTGTTTGCCCTAGGAAAACCAAATTTTACATCTTTCTTCAAATTGTTTTCAGTAGCAGTTGTGGGGGTGGGGGGATTAGAAGTTGGGGGGAATTTCTAAAGTGCTATTATTAGATAATTAGAAATCAGGAATCAGCTCAGATAGTACAAATCTCCAGAGATCTACCAACAGGTTCTAATTTGCATTCTGGCCAGTCTTGGTGTATCGTAATAATCAAATAGCTTGGGCATTTTCCTTCTACCTGTCCCCACTTTATAAAACCTCTTAAACCATTTGATTCATAACTGCAAATGAAATTAATGTTGCTTCATATTTTCCCCTGGACTTTCCTGAATCAACATTTTCCCCATCTATGACTTTCCTCTGCTAACTCTTCCATACCGAGTCTACTCCCAAATGTCTTCCCTGTCAATAGGGGTCCCTGGTCAGTGAGTAGAAGAGCTGATATGACAAGGAAGAATTCAGAAAGAGCAGAAAATGGAGTTGGCTACAAACTAGTGAGGCCTTCTACTTACTACTTAGGAAAGACATCTTAAAGTCCAGCAGGAGCTTATATAAATTTGCCATTCTGAAGGTGCTAAAATTGTTGTTTTACTGAAAGTCTCAGACCATTTTATAGTGAACAACGATCCGTTTAGTTTTTTTTTTAAAGATTCTGCCTTTTCCCCCTCTGTTTCCCTTCAAGGATCTTCTCAAACCAGTCTTTTCCTTAAGTTCTCAGTTGCAATTTCTCAGGGCTGAGATCTGTTTGCACTAGGAATTGTGTGCCGGATCTGCACCCCCTCAAGTGGGCAGACCAGGATGAAAAAAATAGCTTTTCCTTGATTCTGATCGAAGACTACAAACACGTTTTCATTTGCTTTAGATTTCTTAATTATGTACATTTTTAAAAAAAACACAGAAGCTGAAGATTTTCACTCAGCTTGCTTTTACATTTGCAGTCTGAACCTATGTGACTTGATCATTTTTAGGCTTCCTTTTTTTATTTTAGGTAGCGCCCCCTTGAGAATTGAAAAATGTTATAAAAATGCCTTTAAGAAGAAACACCCTTAGGTTTCATTTCTTTTGAATAAGCCTCTTGATGCTTTGCTGGCAATGTGTAATATTCAGTTATTTACAGATACACGCATTCAGCATTGGAGAGGATCACAACTGAACCTACAACCGGTAAGAAGGAGAGTGTGGGTGGGTGGCTGGGAATAAACACTGGAGGCAGGGTTGTCAGATGGGCGGAACTGGAGCAGAGAGAAGTCCTCTAGAGCATCACAGAGCATGTTGGGAGGTCCCCAGAGAACATCTAGCCCATGCCCCTCAAGTCAGGGAGGAAGATGGATTCCTTCCTTCCTGAATGAACTTTACTCATGCAAAGACATCAAAGAGGAGAGCTGTTAGTCTATGGCATTGTTTCTCAACCTTGGCAACTTTAAGATGTGTGGACTTCAACTCCCAGAATTCCCCAGCCAGCTTCCCCAGAGTTGAAGTCCACACATCTTAAAGTTGTCAAGGTTGAGAAACAATGCCGTAGACTAAGAAATTAAGAAAAAACTGCATCAAAATCCTCCTGGCCTGAAGGACAAGTCCCCTTTTCTCCCTTATTTAGTTTTGAGGATATCAGCCTTTCTTAAATATTTATCTGTAAGCTTCCTGCTTACTCTGTCCTCACTCCCTGTGCGGACTCTGTTTTCTCCAACCGTTCAGGAGCTCTCTGCCCTTTTTGTTTCTAAGCATCCTTCAGGACGGTTAAAGGGACTTTGTGTACTGAAATGGACCCCTGGCCCCAGCACAGGAATATTGGTGACTTTCCAGGGCAAAGAGCTCAGCCAGGAACAGGAGAACCTCACGGCACGATAGTCAATTTTATTAGGTTCCTATCAATCCAAAGGTTATTGCTTTTCCAATATATCTATGAAGAGTCAGTAAAGACATCCCCCAGTTGAATGTGATTCCTAGTGACTACAGGATACTTGCGTGCTGTTTCCTTAGCAACATCAAGGAAGCGGTCTCCCACTGCCTTCCTTTTTTTTCCCACCCGAACCTCCAGCCCTGTAATTTCCTGCTGCTCTCCCATCCAATTTCTAACCAAGACCAATCCTGCTTAGCTTCCAAGACCAGACAGGGCCACTGGGGGCCTGCAGCTCCTGAGATGAGAGAGTCGGGAAATATAAAAAATACCATCTTTATTGTGAACCCCTACAACAACGTGTGAGTACTGGGGACAGAGGATCAATATTACAGGGGAGAGAAGCAGATTTACAGCATAGGGGAGGAACAGTAATGGCCGTTCACACATACACACACGCGCGCACACAAGAAAGGTGAAGGAGGAAGGACATCAGAACAAGAAGCCGTGAGTGCTACAGAAGAATGGGAGGTGGTGGTGGCGATGGTGGTGAAGAATGCTATAAGCTCCATGGAAGATGAAATTCTTGGGGAGGGAGTGGAGTACAGTGCGTCGCTTCAAAATTTTGCAGGTGCTTCCGTGCCTGTGGAATGAAAAAAAGAAAAGTTACATTGGGGGACCCAACCTGTACCCTCTGGGCCATCTCTGCTCTCCAAAGCCTTAGATCCACTCTTCCAACAGTGGTCATCAAACTGCTTTTTTTAATGGGACTGGAAAGGAAAGTCATTAGATACACAGGGAAAGTAATAACAATTGCCACTGATCTGATGGGCAGGAAGTTTCAACCAGCTCTTGTTCATACGGCCATTAGGATGAGGAAGGGCTGAGCAAACTATGAGGTTAATGTACTGAAGTCAAAGAACAGATTGTCAGAGTTGGGGAAGAGTGTTCCCTTTTCCTCAGGATAATTCTGGTGTTTCTTTATGGAGTGCCTCCAAACACTTTGCTTAATGGGTTGCTGGGTGTGGGTATGCACAAAACGGAGTTAATTTAAGGGCACTACATTGTGAAACCTACCTGGTTGCACAGAGAAATGATGGATGAGAGGCAGATGTGCTGGAACAATGGGGGGGGGGCAGCAGACTATATGGGTGAAGGCTAGAAGAACTCACCAGGAACAGTGCAAGTTGCCGTCTCCCATCAAGGGTCATGTCTTCACCTGGTTTGAAAATAATAATGGGGTGGAGTGAGAAGGTTCTAACAAGGAGGCAAGATGCAACAGAACAGTACTTCTCAACCTTGGCAACCTTAAGATGTGTGGACTTCAAGTCACAGAATTCCCCACAGCAGGGC